GGGGACAGAGGGGGATAACCGTTAATGTACGTCGCCGGCGGCGGCTCCTGGCGGGAAGTCTGGGTGTCTGGAACGTCAGTCAGCGTCTGTAAAAGTGTTTTGGGATTTCCCTTCGTGTTGCTTTTGCTTTGTTCGGGTACAACGTCTCGTCTCTGTCAGCGGGCTGGGGTTAGCGTGGCGCCGGCCTCGGGCCCCCGCTTGTCGGGTTTCCCGCTGAGGAACGCACAGACCCGCTCTTCTGGGGGCGTTTTTCACAAAACCCTCTCAGAGGAGTACTGATTTTATCGGGTGGAAAATAAATATTGTAGTAGAGACATACACAGTGTGAATGAAACGTCTGAAATTTTTTTTTTCTCCTTAAAATTTTAACTATTTATGTCTCGGTCCCTGAGTGCTCATGCAGGCCCTGCAGACTCCCTGGTCCCACTGAAGAGGCAGGCTGGACTTGTCTCCTCATTGGGACCATTTTCATTTCCAGTGGGAGTATTGCTCCTGAAAGCATTCATTTTAAATAAAGTTTCTAAACGTGGCATTGCTTTGACAATATCCCATATTGTGAGAGCAGTACCCGTGTGTGTACTGAACTGATTTGTTTCATTTCTGGTGAGCTGTGTGTGTATTACTAAATTCAAGGGGAAGAAAAACTGTTACGTATGCTGTGTTACCAAAAAGATTAAAAGGAACCCCATGCAGGTGTGTCTGTAACATGAGGGTCATGGGGAAAACGCATCTTTGTCGTTTAGAAGCAAGTTGTTTCTTTTCCAGCCTCACCTACAGATATACTGGAGTGAAAACAACAAAAAAAGGGGGCACCCAAAAAACAATCTGATATAACTAATTTACTGTTTTAGAGAACATGAGACAAGAAGATGTTTATTTATTCAAATAATTGTTTGGCCTCTTAAACTTCAGATGCTCTTTGTATTTGTACATTGTAGCTACCTCAGAACACAGTACTTCCTTTTGGCATGGGGGAGCTAGTTGTGATGTTTTGATTTATTTTGCTGGTTTAGGTTGTGGAACTCTGGCAGTGCTGGAACAAAATGAAGCTGGGATTGTTCTGCTCAGGAGGTAACATAGGTTTATGTTTTATTTTTGCAAGAGGAAAACTTACTATGTACCTGTGAGTACAAGACACAACCCCAATATTTTGGGTTATTGTTAGTAATAAAAAGTATTGTATTCATGCTATAGTGTCTACTGAACTCTCTTTCTATTTATGTACAAATGAATGTATCTGTATTTACTTACAAATGATAAGTTTACATTGCATGGATTTTGTTAATCTGGATTACATCTTTTCTGTGGTGTAAATCATACAGTTTTTATAGAAAACTGACAATGTAAATTAAAAGCAGCCTCTCTGCCCTAGTTTGAAATGAAAAGTTTTAGCTTTTTGGGAACAGTGCATTGCTACCTAAATTTATGCCATTATGGTTGCCTTATACTGCAAATAGAGCAGGAAGCTGCGTTAAGTCATGGAGGTCCTCCCTAGGAGATCCAATATTCTAAGGGTTTGAGAGGAGTTTGATTTGCATTCTGGATGGGAGGAGGAAAAAAGTTAGGAAAGAGGGCATTAATACTTGACTATTAATGACCTAAAATTTTTCTAAAGAAGGTTTTGAAACAGCAATTGTTTAGATTAAGAGGGATGAAATAGAAATGCTTAACAAATAGTCATATTCAGAGAAACTGTTTTTAATTCATCATTATAAAGCAAGACTTTTTGAAGCTGTTCGACACACTGTTAGTTCTGCTAAGTGCTCTGGTTTAGTACTGTTCATTTCCATGTTTCCAGAGATTCCACTTATTTTGTGCTAGAAAGTCCTGTAACTTCCTGAGCCGTAAGCTGTTGTCATTTTCTCCATTGAAACGTTCTGTGTGCATACCTTTCCCTCATCATTACTGCAGGGTGCCATGAAGTTTAACCTGAGCTTAGCTGAACCTTCAGTGGAAAGGGGGTAAATAAAATTCATATTTACCATCAGATAACAGCACGGTCATTGATAGTTGTTGCAGAGCAACTAATATATAGTATCAGATCTCATATGATAAATCGTTGGTGTGTTGAAAGCCCTTTTTAAGGGAGTGGAGGTCTTTAATATGTTCATGACTATCTTTCTGTTGGTTTTTCATTGTGACTCAGCTTCCTAATGGTGGTGTGAATTGGATAGAGCTCTGCCAACGCAAACAGTTTTACTTCTTTCTTTACGACAGTTGTTACAGACAAAGGGCTTCTACCTCTGTAGCAACCTCTTCGAGAAACCATAGATCAGACTGAGACATGTGGTGCCTTGGTCTCTGTTTGCCTCTCAAGTTTAAAACTGAAAACTGATTTCGTTCTCTGTGTGTGGCAGGTCGTTGGCTCATTTATGCTTTAACTTAATCAACCTATTCTGGCATACATTTGTAAAAGTTGACATTATAACAAGTAAGTTACTTGTAAGGAGATTTACTGGAAACTCAAATATATAAAAATACTGTTTAGAATGGTACAGAGGGTCATTTAAAGAAATACTGTCTTTGCACGTAACTAGTCCAGACTTTTATGTCACGATTTCTCATGGACAAATATCTTCATTGTTCCAATTTAGTTTTGACTGGAATGATGGCCTGTTTGATGTGACCTGGAGTGAGAATAATGAACATGTGTTGATCACTTCTAGCGGAGATGGATCTCTGCAAATCTGGGATACAGCTAAAACCAAAGGTCCGCTGCAAGTCTATAAAGAGCACACTCAGGAGGTAAACTAGGCAAACGTGAAAAATTTAATAGGCGATCTAATGTTTGAATTATTAAATATTTATTTGTGGACTTATCAAGTGAGTTATGTTGTCTATTTTTTAACTTTGTTTTGATCCGTGGTTTGAATTATAACTTAATACACTTTATATTCAAAATAATGTTACCCATTGTACATATTCATATGTACATTTGTATGCTGTAGTAAATACTGCTTAATTACATTAATATATTCAGAAATAGCGTTTGTGGTTTCTTATAGGCTAAGTAATCATGGTGTTGTATGAAAGTACAACATTTTTGGAAAGCATTATTGAATAGGTCTAAATCAGACAGCTGATGTATATAGCAGTGTTATCCTTGAGAATATAGGTGATATACACTATATGCAGATCCTTAGGACTTCTGCCGCTTGTCCTTCTCCATCCTAGCATCTGTAAGGTCCTACTGAAGTAACAGTAGTCAAATATTGGGACAGCATGTCTGTTTTTTTAGCCTTGGTTGGATCTTAAGATCTTAGTTTCTTCATGCAGTTCAATATGGGTAGAGAAAAAATGTTGTATTCATGTTCATAAATGTATTTGCATATTTTAAAGGACATTTGTGCTTTAGTATATTTAACTTCCCCCAAGTGATTTTTCTACATTCCCCCCTCCCCCCCTTTTTTTTTTCATTCTTTCCTTCTAACTCTCAACTCACTTCCGTCAAGTCTTTGAACTTTAGATGCTTTTCAGTTTTAGCCTGGATTACTGGCACTTTATCTAAATTACATACATCTGAATAAAATAACCTAGTGGATATGTAGCCCATAAAAAATGGAGAGAATCCAGTTTTATATTCGCAAAGACCTCAAGTTGGGGGTTTTTTTTTCAGATATGAAGCACAAAGTTAAAAGCTGAGTGACTGCAGTTACATGACAGTCTGTCTTCTGTACCTTATTTCTTTGTAATTTTGGTACTTTAATACATACACTATGTAAATAATTTTGAGAGATGAGTTTGTAGTTGTGTTCAGGATTTGATGATAGTATTCAAAGGCTGATGGTAATAACAGAAAGACGTAGGCAAAGCAGAATACCAATTTTTTTTTCCTCTATCATTTTCTTATTGAAATTCTGTCCATAAGTTTATTTTGGTTCTGCTACACCATCTGTTGTTTGTGAAGTAAACATTTCTGTGTCCAAGTCTTAGTTTAGCAGGTAGCATGGGGAGGTGGATGCATTCAGCCATGAGTTAGAAAGACAGTATAGGAAACATGGACTGAGTTTATTGTGGGCTACGAAAGCTTTGTATTGATTCTTTATAAACATGCATTAAGAGGATATATCTCAGCGGGAGTATACCTAATAGTTTGTAGTAAACACTAGCAGACAGTGGTCTTTAAAATGATTGACTACCTTCCTAATCCTTAATCCCTGTCTGACATTTCTAATGACAATTTTGTCACTGCATTTCATAGTATTTCTAATGCAAGGTTGACAGGGATCTGTTTCTTGTTTTCTAAATGAGATCATTGTCCCTCCTCAAAAAGAATGTGCATTTTTAATTTAAAAGTGTGTCTTTATTATCAAAGGACAATGAGTTTTATTCCAGCACTAACCAACTGCTGAATCTCATGAATAAATTAGTTTAATTTACTTTAATTTTGATGAAGTCTCTCCGGAATGTGAGACGATAGAATGCTTGAAATAAATTTGTCTTGTAAAGTGAGCCTAAGCATTTATGTTGAACTGTTTTTTATGGTTTCACATCTTTTTTATAATCTTTTCATCTTGCCTGAGGCATTTCTTGCTGCTGTTTAGGCATAAACTAGTATTAATCTATTTTAAAATTGAAGATAAAGCACTAAAAGATTAACAACTAAGGTTTATGCTATGCTATTAGTCTTTCCCTGTTGCTCAACACAGCTTCTGTTGAAGAGCCTGTGAATTTATGTTGGATGACAGCATGACAAGGAAAGAAGAATAAAAGTGAACCTTACTTGGTTCTCCACACCACCTTCTTTTCATTCTCTTCCTGTTACCTGAACTTATCACATGCCAAATGGAAAATAGCTCTTGCTTTTTCCAAGCCTGTTGTCTGTTCGGTTTGTAATTCTTGCCCGAAGGAGAATTTGCACTGGTCCCACTGCCTCTGATGCAGCTGCAGAGTGCTGGGCAGTCCCAACCATGTCTGCTGTATGTACACAGATCCGTGTCACAGCACGTGTTCGGCACATCTATGTGCTGATAGCTCATGACTGAGCTGTAAGCCATATGTGTGCTTTGCCTTATCTGCGCAGTAGATCTGGCACATCCTAAATATGTGGGGCACGGTGAATTGTGTGACACAGGTGCATATTTCTCAGAGATGTATTTCTTCCTGGAAAACCTTGGACATGAATATGAGAGCCAAACACTTCAACTGAGCTGACTTCATAGGGCTGTTGTGTGAAAGAGGCATACTAGTAGTGATACATTTAGGGGCATTTCCAAACAGCAGTAGCTTAGGAGTTGAGCACAGGCTATCACACAGATCTAGGGGAAAGAGAGAGGCTAATGTTTGTGAGGAGCTTAGGAGCCACTTTGGAGAACTGTGATATCTTCCATCCTTAAAATGTGAGCAGGTACTTGTATGTCTCCTTTGTTGTTACTTTAATAGGAGGGGTCAGGTTGAAAGGGAGGGTGTTTTAATGAGCTGTAGTACTGGTAGTTAGCTGACAAAAGTAGAAAAGCAAAGTGTCATGGTTTGGAAAAACAAAAGAATTACCTTTCAGTTTGTTATTTGTCTGAGTGTCTTGTACATTTGTGTTATAAGCTCCTGGAGGAAGGGAGCTTGCACAAAATAATGCCAGAGCAATATGCCTTTCAGTATATATGGGAAGCAGGACACTGTAAAATAAGAAGGAAAGCTGCAGATAATGCACTTTGTTTTTCTGTGGCCAGTGGTTGCCTTGTGTTTATGGGAAATAAGCAACTAGATGAAAAACAGTTAATTTAAGCTGGATCTAGCATAAACTGCAATATTTCTTAGGAAGGAAAATGCTCAGAAGTAGCTAAATGATACGTTGATTTCTTTTCTCACACATATGGACACTTCCCATGGAAGACTTTGGCTTTTGCTGGATTTTGACACAGGTCCAAACATTTTCACCTTCAAAACAGTGTTGCTGTCATTTAATGCACAATTCCATCCAACCAAGAGAAACACAGCATCTAGTATGTTGACTCGTGGATTAGATCCAGTGCTGTGTTAGAACCAGATTGTCCCAGCTGGAGTACAAACCCTTGGTGGTTAGTGGCTCAACTGTGAGAGCAGTGCCACCTACTACTGGTGGCCATGTTTGAGAAGTGTCGTGGAAGGTCTGAATGGGTCAGGAGGTGAAGCAAATAAGCTGTTTCAGATAATATTTATCCACCTGAGCACTGAAATGGTTCATGTCCCACTGCATGTTATTGAGCCATTTTGGTGTGGGGTAAAACTAGACGGAACAGAATGCATTTTCCATCATGTAGATGAAGATGCAGTGCATCTCAAGATGAAAGTTGTAAATGTTCTTGAGACTTAGAGATTTGAAGATTTGAAGTAATTTGGAGAACTACCTTAGAGTGTTCATTTTTGCTGAGGCAGCAGAGCTGAAAAATCAGCAGTGAAGGATGGAGTTAAGGTGTCCTCTGTCAAGGCAGGAACCAAGGTTAGAATAAACTGTTAGAGAAGAGGGAGCTTATTTAAACTACACGAAGAAGAGAAATTTCTTAATAGCTGAAATGACTAGTCATGAGGGAAGGTGAGTTTTTAATTTTCTTTGTTTGAGGATATGCATGGTAAAAAAAAAAGTGTCATAGAACCTGGATAAGATGAAAATCGTGAGTATTTTATGGCATGTATTTCTTATGAGTATTAGATAACATAAAAAAGCATTTGTTGTTAGTCAGCTAAAACCTCAAAGTCAGCTCCATAGTCAGCTCTGAAGAGAGATGACATTTACATTGCTAGCAATTTGAAACTATAGACATTTGAATAAAATTGGATCAGAGATAAGAAATCAGTCTGAATTACGGCTTTTTACAGTGGTAGAAACTTCTGGTGATGGTGGGTCTATGTGGATTTTGCTACAACTCCCCCCCCCCCTTTTGGCTGATCTTTACTTTTTTGGATACTTTTCTGAACCTATATGTACCTGTAATGACAGACTGAGATGTTTAATTTTTAATTTTTTTTCAGGAAAATGGCATTGTTGGCAGCTTTGTGGTGCTTGAGTGGTGTGGGTTTTTAGCTGATGAAGATACTATCTGCAAATCCAAGTCTATTTTGTGAAAATTTGGCTTGCACTTTCTAAACTAGGCTGTTGTATCATTTATAGGCATATAGTGTTGACTGGAGCCAAACTAGAGGAGAGCAGCTAGTGGTGTCTGGTTCATGGGATCAAACAGCCAAGCTGGTATGTTGGTTTTCTGCTGAAGGTGAAAAATGTGATTTGTTTTGGATCTGATAGTTCTTTGTGTTAAGAAACAGCATTGATTAACTTTCCTCTTTATTTTTACACTGAGGCTGAAATTCTGCTTTAACTGAGATACTGCTTTATCCCTCACTTGATATTAGTTTAAGTATACAAATGCTTTTCATGATACATGGTAAAAAGAAGTTCATTTAGTCCTTTCTATATGTAAAAAGCTTTTTAATGTGTGAAACCCTTTCCTTTCTTATTGCATGTATACCTCAACAGTTTTCTTTTTACTTTATTCAGTGGGATCCAGCTGTGGGGAAATCATTATGCACTTTTAAAGGCCATGAAGGGGTCATTTACAGCACTATATGGTCTCCACACATCCCAGGTTGTTTTGCGTCTGCTTCAGGTAAACGTGATGGTAAAGGGATTCTTGCAACAAAAAAACCCTTGTATCTTATTGAATTAGTTCAGCACTTTGTCCAGCAGATGGTAGTATGGGTCATACATAAAAATGGAAGAAGGAAGATAAACTTACTGCTGCAGCTGGATTTGTAGGTTCTGTTACAATCTGTAAATTATCCTCTTGGTCATTTAAACAGGGATGAGCAGTTTTCTAGCAGACACTTCAGTGACCTTGTGGCATTTTTTTCTGTTATTTTATGTAGAGCTCTTCTCTTCGCCTCACTCTTGTTATTGAATGCTAAATCATGTTATATGCTTTGTGTTCTCACTTTTTTTTTTCACATTATCTCAAGTGTCAGTAGACTGTTAGCTCTGTGAGAAACATAGTCAGTTCCCGCTGAAGTACTACTGCTTAAATACTGATGGAGATCTCTATGCCTTGTTCTTTGGGAAAAGTAATCATTAATTTTTACTTTTCTGCTTTGGCCAGTGCTATGAATCTTGCTGGCCAATACAGTCATAACTGAATTGGGTGTACCTAGAGAGACTGTATGGTGAGGTGTCAGTGTTTTCCAAACACTGCTCCTGCTCCAGAGGCACAAGGACAGCTGTGGAGTGAGACCTATAGCCTAACTGCTGAGGGGTGCCGTGAGCCATGGAGTTTGCTTGCAAAATAGAGGAGCAGTAAGACACTGCCTTAATACAAATATTGGTAGATTAACTCCAGTGGCTTAAATTTACCTAATTTCAAGTCTGTTGGACTTCTGTACTGATTTAAATATAAATTGTTTAGCTCTTACATCAAGAGGGCAAGCAAGTATGAGTATGTTTTCCTGTTACTGAAGAATTAGACAGTGAGTACACAGATACTGCCTTCCCTGTTCGGTGGGAATTTTGATGAAAAAGTGCCATGGCTTTTACAAAATTTCAGTCTGGCTATTGCCATCTGACTCTTCTTGCAGAGTTGAACTAGAATGACTAACAAGTTACATGTATGTGTTCTAATGTAGTAGTGCTTGGAAGCCAGATGCTGGTGCACAGTTATGTCCAACTTCTTTAAAGATTCATTGAAGTAACACTTAGTAAGGTGTCTAATAGGTTGTGCAGAAACTTACAGGATTGAGTCCTGTACTCTGTATGAACAATTCTGCTGAAATGCAACTGTGTGCCACAAAATACTGGCTAAATACCATTTGATCAAACCTAAGTGGAGAAAATGCTGCTTAATGTTTTTTTGCAGATTCTAGGGGATATTACAATCTCTTTAAAGTCCTGCTCAGAAGCCTCCTGTCCGTGGCAGTCTTACTCATACAAAATTTCTGACATTCTACATGAACAAAAGGGCTATACTGATCCTGCTAGTTATTTCAAATTTGATTCCCTAGAAGCCAAACTCCCTTCTAATACATTGCCACTTGAACAATTTTGGGAAACATTGATTGTTAGATGCTGTATGTGGTGGTACTTAAATTGGATAGAGCAACATACAATTGATCTGTTCTTTGAGTGACTCAGTGGGTGCAGCTGCTGGAAGTTTTCACTAAAACACTAAAGGGTTCCTATTCTTTTGTGAATTTTACTGTGACTTTTGAAAGGGACTAACATATACTGCTGGAGCCTTAAGTAGCTTAAAATGTGTGGAGGGAAACATTTTGTACTTCCTTTCATCTCCCTTGTGTTTTAACTTTTTAAAACAATAACTTTTTGAAGGGTGTTTTTGAAGGGTATTGAAACATTCCCTTTTTGAAGGAGGCTGTGCTGCTTTAGTATTGCAGTGTGTGTGTGTTCTTTCTTGCCACTCCTGTCCTCTTTTTCTCATCCCACCTCAAACATACCTACTCACAACCATGGACTTACTCATATCTTCGTAGTATAACATCTTAGCACTTCAGACCAGAAATGAACTGTTTCATGTTGCAGCATGTTCAATTTTGCACATGTTAGTAAAACAAGTTAGGTCTGTTGTTAAGCATAAATTGGAAAAAATGTCAGTCTTGAAATGCTTCTGGTTAAACTAAATTTAAGTAAAACACTGCGCTTTTTAATTTTTTTTTTTAAGAAGATAAGCAAGAGAGAAGGGGGTTTAGGAACCTTTTGCATACCTCACCCCTGTCCTTTTTCTGCCTTATTTGAATCCACATAGATGCCAGCAGAAATTTAATTTCCACTTAACTAATTGGTTTGTGAACACTGAAAACAGAAAGCCAAACACAACTGCAAACCACAGTAAAATAGCTGCTTATTAGGAGCATTATGTGCCTAGACACCTTTTGCCTGAAGCTAATAAGGTTAAATCGTTGCTTTTGGAATATGACTATTTCTCAAACTATTACAAGACTAGAAAAAGAATGAGTGAAGAAAATGAGAAACCTAAGACTGCAATATAAAGCAGTTGAAAAAGAGTTTGATACTAAGTGTGGTTATTTTGCTTCATTAAGTCTCTGATCTGAATATATACAGGAAGACTAAGTTTGTCTGCAGTGGACAATAAAATGCAGTTGAATTACAGAAGATAAATATGTCTGATGCTTCAGTTAAATTAGTTTTTATTCAGCGTCTAATACACTTCCATTTAACATTTTCAGGGATGTGTGAGGTACCTTACAATGCTGTTGTCTTCATGTACAATCATTTGTACTCTCAAAAAGCAAGTAAATGGCTTATCTTTTCATGTTTGAAATTGGGAGTTAATAGTAACAGAACAAACTGTTAATTCTTTATATGTAAATAAGTGCTGTTGTGATGTCAGTAACAATTTCTGAGCTGATAAGATAAGCAGGATGTTCAGGTGTACGTGCATGTGGCACCAGACCAGAGCCCTGGTAAATGTCTGCCTTACACTGAAAAAACAGTGATGTGGAAAATGTCATTAAAGAAGTGACATAAATGTTTTAACAGCATCTTTGTGGCTAAAAGGGTTTAATGAGTCATTGTGTCATTTGCCCAGAAGGTCGTCCTTTTTTTTTTTTACCCAGAGAGCAAATTGGTGAGAAGCACATAGAGAGTGCCGAATGCACACAACAGTGTAAATCCGTTCTACTAAATGATTCTCCATAACTGCAGAGCAATAGGCCTTGCTCAGTCCTGTGGTTTATAAAGAAAGCATCCTTTATAGTATCAACTGGTTTTAGTGTCCTTTTAAATTTAACAGTAGGAAGTAATTAGAGTACTATTTTACCCTTATCTGTGTAACTGTAGTATTCTTCAACACAGATATGACACTGGCAAATGGAAATATGAATGTTTTCAATTCAACAAAGCTCAGATTTAGAATGACTGCTAGCTTTTATCTTAACTGCTGGGACCTCAATTTTAATGCTGCATTAATTTCTTTTTAAACTGTTACTATACTCCTTAGGTTTACTGATCAGGGCAGATGCATAGCTTCTGTAACATCTTAAACAAATCATGAATAAGGGAAAGAAGTGTTTCTTAAATCTACCAGATAATGTCTGTATTCATCAATATTTACATCAATTAATTGTATTCTTTGCTTGCCCAGGGCAAAAAATTTTCTCCTACCACAACAAGGTGTGATCATTTCTGATCACATTTTCTGATCAAATTTTTATTATGTTGACAAAAGTGTTGGAGAACTGTAGCTTTGCTGGTTTACAAATGAACCTGTAAATCCAGCCTTCACTCTTTGTAAGCCCTTGCATTCAGTGCTAGACTTTAAGGTTAAAATTTAAAAACATTGTTTATCTCTTATTCTGGTTTATTGCTAGCCCTGATGCTAGGTTGCCTTTTAAAAAGCTTGTCTTCTTGCCCACTGGTCTTAGTGACAAATGTGTGTAGTTAAGGGGTTGTCAAACTGTAGTTTCATAAATCAGGCTACCATGTAATCTTGGCACACCTTTCTATGCTTGGGATCCAAATTGTGAAAGAAAACTAAAAACGAACAAATTATTTTGCATGAAATAATGAGCTGGGGAAGGTGTACATCTACTAGGAGGATGGTTGAATATTGAATTCATCAGAGTCATAGGCTTGGTAAGCTTTACTAAATCAACCTCTAATGTGCAAGCTGAAATATTTCTCAGGAAATTAGTTTGGCCCTCAATTTATAGTACATGCTAACAACAGTAAAGTATTGTATGCAGCACATGCTAGAATATAAAGCACTTTCAGGTTACAATATTTTATATTAGAATCCCTTATTGTAAAATAATGTTTTAGTGTTGAGAAGAAAAATGCAGTAACGGTTTTTTACAGTGAATGAATATGTTTCGAGTCATTTGGGTTAGAGTTGGGTGTCTAGACAATATTGCCATTTGCTGAAAAATGGCTTAATAAGTCAAAAGTTATGTAAATTTTGAAATAAAAATTTTGTCTCAAGATTTATGTTTAGTCATCTTGAAAAACACTGATATAAAAGTTTTGACTGATTTTTTTTTTAAACCATTTACTCTTTTCAGAAAAAGTCTGTTGAAGTCTTCTCTGAAATAACTTAAAACTCTCTTGATTTTTAGCTTTACAGCATTTTGTATCAGACTAAAAAATTACCAGATGGCAAGCATATTTCCACTGATAGTTACGTTTACTTGATATCTAGGTTGTGCTACATGGAAAAAAATTTTGTGCATTCAGTAGAGACCTGTTGGGTGATTTAAATAAAACTGTTATTTCTGTTGCTCTGTTTCTGTCTCTGTGTGTGGAATCTCGTGAGCTTTATTAATCCTGTTCTAGGTTTGCTTATACTATCTATGATAGAAACAGACATCATGATCATTTTAAGATGCCTAGAAGTTTTTGCGAGTCGTGAAATTTGGGTTCTGCTATTTATTATCTCACAGATTTTCTATTTGATTCTGACTAAATACTTTAATCTGTTCTAGTATTTTAAAAAATTACGTACAAGTAAGCATGTAATGTTAACTTGTAATCATTCAATGGCACTGCAGAATCATTTAATCTTGTCGAGATTTCTTTGATGTTACATCATAGGCGACTGGCCTGGCTGAACAGGGAGATTT